TGTATGTATATATATAGGCATGTATTGCGTGTATGCATGTTTGCATGTATGCATGTATGCATGTATAAATATAAATATGAATACATATGAATATTTATATATATATTCCAACGATACACAAGATGAATATGTTGAGCACCTATATAGCCTACCTAGAACTTGTCGATCAAAAGGTACACCTGATTTGGACAAAGGTGTGGAGAAAGGGGTTTCTTACCGACTATTACGATTCCGAAGCTACGATGTTCGTATATAGCACGCGAAGCAGTATGATCACCAACTTTGATATTATATATACAATGGCAATAAAAAAATTCTTGAGAGCCTTGCAGGTTGTAATAATATAGAATATGCAATGCATAGAAACATACTGTTCGCATAAATGTGAACAGGATTGTTAGTTTCGAATGACAGATCACACGGAATCATAACGAAAAGTTCGAGATTCTATGATACACAGTTCTAAGGTGTCGGAAAAGGTCTCGTTCTAAATTGTTCGCAGACTTAGGTTCGTATATCAAATCACGGCCCTGTGGAAATTGTCAGTGGAACATCAATTTGAAGAAAACAAAGGTAATCCGTGTCAGGGAAAATTGCCATTTGCCCCGAATAGCCTTTGACCGCAACACTATCCAGAGGGCCGTGACTAAATGCGCACTGTTCAGTCCGAACGGTATTCGGATATTGGCGACATAGGCTCGAAAAATATTTATTGGAAACAATAAAAAGCTGTATAATTTTATAGAGGGCTATGGACAAGCATGTTTTAACTATTTTTAGTACAAGTCTACAAAAAAAGGATATTTTTTAGTACAAAGAAACTACATAGCTCTCCTCTGATTGGGTTTCGATATTTCGCTACAGATTTGATATGCCAATCACACCAATCAAAATAATTCTCAAAGTAGCCAGGAATGCTTGTGGCATTTCGAGTTGGTATGTACTTGGTAAGAGTTATTTATATAAAAAAGTACTCAAAACTTAGTAAACGCAGGGTAGAAAAGCTTTTATAGAAAAAAGGAAACTGTGTAATAATTTTATTCTAAAGATATTTTAAACTTCCTCATCTAGCTAGACCCCTATTCGAAGCTCATGCCACATTTATCAGGTACCAACGCAACTCCAACTCATGGCCCAGGTAGAGTAGCAAACGCTTTAGATGGTTCCGCTCCTTAGTATAAGAAATTAAATATTTTTAAATACAGGTAGATTATGTGACAGGTGTGACAGAGCGATCCAATACCACGCCCCGATCGTAACGCTATATAAGCAACAGAAACTGTCACATTTTATTCATACACTTTGGGAGTGATTATTTGATAAATAGGCTAGACAAATTCAAACCATGAGTCTGTGCACCTTCCCAGGCCTAGTAGTGCTCCTCGCAGCGTCTGCCTCCGGCTTGCGAGCATTTTCAAACGCGCCTAATAGTGTCACAAGTACTCTCGGAGTTATTAATCCTTCAATGAGTGGTATTTCGTACTTGAGCACAGCCGATGCGAGTATTACAGGCAAACCCTGGGAAACCACCTGGGCAACAACGGATTCCTATTTCTTCGATGCTCAGACCAGCGCTGTCAAGGGGTTTTCTGGAACATTCACCTTCTCAGTGAATGGAGCCACTCCATCTACAATTACTAGCATGGCTGTGGACACGCAGTGGATGGGCTCTGCTGGCAATTGGAATATTTGGCAGTTTGCTTTGAAGAACTACCGTACAGGACAGCACGATCTCATACTGACCAACGCAGCGGCCGGTGATTGGGCCTGGACTGACTTGTCAGGTAACTTGACATTCCCCGAGCCAACTGCTGACTACATGAATGCAGCAAACCAAGTCGAGCTTCGATATTTCTCCGATGGTCCAATCAATACTTGGGACGATTCCTTTATGTCATACCTGTCTCTGCGAGTGCATGAGGACGAGCCACGTGGATCTAACACGCCACCACCGACTTCAACTGCATCGCCCAGCAGCCCAGCAATCGCCAGCGCTTCACCAATCAATGCTGCTGTGACTAGCGTTTCTCCGAGTTACACCGCTGCAATCAATGCCAGCCCCAGTAGTGCCGCTGTCAACAGTACATCTCCTAGCGCTGCCGCCCCATCCACATCCGCATCACCGCTAGCAAACGATGTACCAATGACACACACCATATACCCCATTTCACTCAACCACACTGTGGGCCAGGTTGTGATGCCTTTCCTAGGAATCGGCACCCTGCAAACAGCCGTAGGCGTCCTGGGACAAACACAGGAAGCAAATGAACTATTCTACGATGATGCAGTATTTTTGTCGTCCACTGGTACTCCCCTCGGCTTCGATGGCGTTTTCACGTTTCAGGACGCTTCGATCAATCCTGACAAAGTAACATCTATCACCGCAAGGATTCTATGGAATGGTCCCGATGCTTGGAATGTATGGGAGTGTGTGCTCAAGAAGCCATCTGGAACTGAGGTTCCATTGGTAAACAATCTCCTCGCGGGCGATTATCTATGGAGCGTTCTGACCGGAACTGTACCCGTAGCCGATAGTTCATTTGTCAGCGCCACAGGTGTACTCCAAGTTAGATGCTTCACGAACGGACCGGAGGGTAGATACGACAACGCATTCATTGACAAGTTCGAGCTGATCATCGAAGAGCATGCATCTTCTTCTTCAGCCTCCCCATCACCATCCGGTGCTGCTGTAGCTAGTTCCTCTCCCAGTACGGCCGTAGTAGTCAGTGCCACACCTAGCAGTGCTGTAATTAGCAGTGCCTCTCCGTCTGCTGGAGCCGTAGTCAGTGCTTCGCCAAGTAGTGTTGCTATCAACAGTGCATCTCCCAGTGCTGCCGCCCCATCCACATCCGCATCACCGCTAGCAAACGATGTACCAATAACACACACCATATACCCCATTTCACTCAACCACACTGTGGGCCAGGTTGTGATGCCTTTCCTAGGAATCGGCACCCTGCAAACAGCCGTAGGCGTCCTGGGACAAACACAGGAAGCAAATGAACTATTCTACGATGATGCAGTATTTTTGTCGTCCACTGGTACTCCCCTCGGCTTCGATGGCGTTTTCACGTTTCACGACACTTCGATCAATCCTGACAAAGTAACATCTATTACCGCAAAGATTCTATGGAATGGTCCTGATGCCTGGAACGTATGGGAGTGTGTGCTCAAGAAGCCATCTGGAGCTGAGGTTCCATTGGTAAACAATCTGCTTGCGGGCGACTATCTGTGGAGTGAATTGACTGGAACAGTGCCCGTGTCTGACAACTCGTTTGTAAGCACTACGGGTCAAGTCCAAATAAGATGCTTTACTGAAGGACCAGCGGGTACGTTTGACAGCGCTTTTATCGATAAGTTCGAGCTTGTTGTTAAAGAGATCAAACTTGCACCCTCGGCGTCTCCTGCACCCACTCCGTTGCCGTCACTAGTACCAGGTGTTCCAGGATTGTTTGTAGCCACCAAGGCATTCCCCAAGTCCTTGACTACAACCAAGGGCGAAGTTGTGGTGCCCGTTGGAGGGATCAGCACGCTACAAGTAGCTGACGCGGTGATTGGCGCAAGCCAGGGTACAGAACAAGTCTATCTATTCAAATCAAATGGTACGGTGGTGAAGGGATATAGTGGCGTATATAAATTCGACTTTCCTGAGGTTCGAGAAAACGTCACAAGTATCTCATTGAGTACCACATTCATGGGACCTGAGGGAGGATGGAACAGATGGCAGTTCAAGATGGTCAACTTTGCGGCAAACAGAGAGAAGACCCTGGCGACGAACATAGGGACAACCGACTGGAAATGGTCTACCTTGAAAGGCAACATCTCTTTTACCTACCCCGAGAGTGGCTACATAAACGAGATGCGTGAGATGCACGTCAGATACTTCACTGATGGCCCGGTAGGCACCTTTGACAACTCGCTTCTCAACAGTTTGGAACTCACAGTGCACGAAAACGAACCCAGAGCCCCAAGACCCAGCGCACTCCCCAAGCCAACGCTTAGTGCCCCTGCACTCCCTGCCCGTTCCGCACTAGCATGGACTGTCGGTGCACGAGCATGTGGTATGAGTCTCAACGTGACGGTGGATAACGCCGCAACTCTAGCGTCCAAGATTGGTCAGCACAAGACTGAAGGGTGCTCCGTGATCGAGTTCGATTCTGGCTTGTCGATCATGCACACCGACCAGATGTTTGCGGATCAAGTGACGTTCCTGGCGATGGCTTCCGGCATGGCCAAGGCCGAGGGGTTGCGATCGGTGTTGTATATCCCTTCGTTGGAGGTCAATATTCCCGGCGGATGTATCCAGGCAACGGGCGCGCCCACCGAGCTGAGCATGACCAACGATCCCCAGAAGTCCAATTGGCTTCAGACCAACCTGGCCGGGATCAAGAATGTCTTCTGCGGCGAGCTCGAAGTCTGGGTGGCTGCAGGTATGGAGAGTGCGTGGTTCGACCCCAACAATGAGGAGTTCAAAGCTTGGTTTTTGAACAGAATCCGTACTCTGGCCCTCTCGACTGAGCTCGACGGATATTGGGCAGATGTGCCTATATACAGTGACACGGTCGGCTCCTGGTTTGGTGCCGGGCCTGATAGCGACCGTCTGTTCTCGATGTGGTCCAAAGTCCAGGGATACAACTCAGGACTAGGCTACAGTGCATGCCCCACCGTTGCGGACTCAATCTCCAGAAACTTGCATTTCCGAGCTTGGTTAAAGTGGAGGCACGAGACACTCGCGGATTGGCAGGAAAACATTAGGATAGCGGCAGAGCAAGCACGACCCACCTTTGAGGTGATTGCAGAGGTATATCCGATGGACTATCTCGACCCACTATGGACTGGCCTGGATACAGATAGGCGAAGCCCGAATCTCCTGCGCGTGTGGGAGGTGGACTCTGTATCCAACGACCAAGGAATGGAGTACAGCACTATGGAGGACTTCCGAGTCAAGATTGCGATGAACAAGTACGCACGTGCCGCAGACGGTGACACACCATCGTGGGTGTTCGCGTACGGCAACAAGGATCTCGATGCAGGCTTGGTCATGGGTGCTGCTGTGGCCAGCGGGTGCGGTGTGTTTGAGTGCAAGACACCATCCATGGTAACAAGTGTGGGGAGCGAGTTTAGGCGGCGCTGGTTGACCTGGATTGAGTCTATGGATTCTATGCTGTTCACCGAGCACCGCAAGGCTGATGTAGGGGTGCTGCACTCGGCCGCAACTAGAAACCACTACGACTACCCGAACGGAGGGGCGTATGGTATGTACCTGGAGACCACCAAGTCACCGGCGGCAGATGCTTCCTGGTGGGCTGTGGGCGGCCTTCAATCATCAGCACTCAAGATGAAACACATCGGGGCGTACAAGGGAATGATGGGAGTACTCACACAGCTACAGGTGCCGCACAAAGTAGTCCTTGATCACACTAGTGGCTTGCAGTCAATGGCTGGTTTAAAAGTCATCATCTTACCATCGGTTGTGGCCATTTCTGATGCAACTGCTCAGAACATCAAAGACTTTGTTGCAGCCGGTGGAGCTGTGCTTGCCACTGGGCCTATGCCCGGTACTGTGGATGCAGATGGCTCCCCCCGCACCCAGTCTATCCTAGCCGATATGTTCGGTTTCGCACCCAACACAGTGGTTAGAACCACTTCGCTTGTGAATACGTACGGACAAGGAGTTGCCGTATACCGTCCCGAGATAAATGCGCGAACACTGTTCAGTGGCGAAGCAAATGCCGTGCCTGAGGGCCCTGCCTCACCCGCTATCCGTGCCAAGACTGTGGACGCAATTAAACTCTTCGTGCGTTCCCATGTACCCGAAAATGTGATTGTTCAACGTCTGATGCCGGATGGGAAGACTGAGGCCACCACCAAGGTGTATCTGGAGGTTGGAGAGGTGAGCACAGACACCACTACACAGTCTCTGCACCTCATGAACCTGGATGGACTCAGGGTGCCCGTTGTGGCATCCTCCATGACTGTGCGGGTGTTCTACCGTGCCCCAGCCGGTACTAAACTCACTGGCACAGTTGGCGTACACAGCCCAGACGAGTCACAGTGGGTGGGTGGTGTGGTGGCCAACCGTCTCAACCAACCGGGCACTGCAGCCGAAGAGCGTGCCGAGGCTCTGCTAGGTCTGTGGTACTACTTTGACATGACGGTGGATCAGTTCTCACTATTGGTCATGCACCTCGAGTCTTACGCGTTGCCAGCCCTCCCATCACCGCCCACACCGCTGCCTACTGGGCCTTGGCGTGATGCGATGACTGAGGGGTTCACGTTCATTAAGGACAAGATGCGGAACAACGCCATTTCTGCACCTTTCAAGTACGGAGTTTACACAAACTATGTTGACATTCTGCCATCACAGGAGGATATTGTATACGCAAACGGTCACCATACCACAGGCGAACACATGGGTATCTTCTTGAGAGCAGCAGCGTGCTTGAATGATGTTGTGGCCCATGCTGAGGGCACTCGGTACGTCCGCGAAGTCATGACGTCAAAGTTGTTGGGTGTTATCAACTGGGCGGTCGATAAGGACACACGTTTGTCATACATCCAAGATGACTTTAACGGCGGCTTTGCCAATGCTAACGCACCTCTGGATGATTTGCGTGCTATCCGCGGGTTGATTGAAGGCGCTGGTTCCATCGCAACGGATGCTATCGATAAGATCACCGCTGCACAGACGGCTCTGGCTGGTTTGTACTGGACGTCAGTCAGTGACGTGATGGCTTACGATGCGAGTGACGAGGAGGAAGACACGCGAGCGAGAGTCCTGCCCAACTACTCGGGCGGTGTCATGGGATACTCATACGATTGGTCTGAGACTGAGCTGAACCCCACGGGCGACGGTAAATTGGGCGTTGAGCTTATCCCCATTGACTACTCGTACCTGAAGGCCATGTCTTTAGCGGCACGGCTGAACCCCCGATGGCTACCTACCCTCGAGGCATCGACTCGTATGCTTCTTGATAGCGAGATTGGTAACTCTGGGTTGTTCTACAATGGACTAACTACCATGGGATCGTTCGCGTACACCGGGGATTTTGAGTACCGGAACTTGACCGAGACCAACCGAGGCCGTCACTTGAAAACCATTCAGACTCTCTGGATTGCTTTGCACTTGGCCGAGATCGGCACCGCTGCAGGTGGCGGGCTGTCACCAGGTATGTGTTGGAAGTCATTGATTTGCTACCACATGCATAAGAACACATTCATCAAGCTGATTACCACAGTGATCTTTGTCATGCAACATACACGGCCGCTCGAGGGTGGGCGCACATCTTAATTTGCTACTACTTGCAGACATACCCATGACTCACATGAATCCCTATATCTCATCCTTGAGCAGATTTGGCAACACTCGCCAGAGAAGCGGCAATCCGATCATTCAACAACTACAATTCATTCTATACTGCCAACGGAAAGCGTATACCCGAGTACATGACAATGGCTGGCGGAGATGTCTTATCGAGTGATCCCTATCCTTTGCAGGCAAACGAGAACCTGGTCAATGGCGAGGTTCGTATACGTTCATGAAGTTGTGGACCTACATCATGTTCTGCAATAAGCACTTCCAGATTGCGTAATCTTTTTGTTGAAATTCATCCACAATGCACATGGTTTAAGAAATAACTATTTCGTACAGCTGTACGCTTGCAAATCGCACACTCATCCTCTACCATCCCTTCCCCCCAAATCAGGCGAGAATCTATTCGCAATTTGCCAACTTGGCTTACATTCTAGGCGACACAGTCACCGCGAACGCAGTCATGACCGATAAGGTCGTACCAGACCGAGTGATCTCACCCACCAGCCCAGTACGTGGCTGTATTGGGTCATCTGCGTCTGCTAATGACTGTGAGGCGTTTAACACATTAGAGGCCGTAAACAGACTGTGTCACATAGCGCAAGGATAGCTCAGTACTGTACAAGATGTCATGTACTGTGTACTCATCGATAAAGAAAAATAAATGGATAGGTTTCCTCAAGCGCTACCCCTTGAACAACTAAATTGCGCATAGTACTTGACAATGTAAAGACATCTACACATATACACATATATTACGCACATTGCAGTGAATTTACAATAAATTTGGAATATTTCGAGAAAAGCACTATTTTTGATGCTTAGCTATATATATATTATATATATATATATATATATATATATATTTCTACATACAATATATATATATATATATTATTTACTATACATA